ACTAGATGACTAGTAAAAATAAATAAACTAGAGAAACAGTAGACCAGTATAGTAGAAAAATAGTAAACGAACAGGCTAGTAAATGATTTCAGAAGACCAGTAGACGAGAAGACCAATAGACGAGAAGACCAATAGACGAGAAGACCAGTAGACGAGTTTAGTATAGAAGTTTGTAGACCCGAAAATCGATAACAATTTATTAGGTCTAATTAATTTTTACCTTTGCAGCCATGTCAACACGCACCCAGCAAATTTGTCAGATATTAACATATTCTATTCGACGCCATCTTGCTATCTGAAGGCTATTTATTTGTATGGGAGGAGGGATAAAGCTGTGTATACTGAAAAAGTAAGTATTCTGTCAGAGGGAAAAGGAATTGACCATATTTTGTCATTATCACAGATTGGGCATGCTTCAAGACTCTTGTCTTGTCACTATTTTCGAAAACCCGAATGACCTATATTTTTCAGACTTCAGAATCGAACTCATTAACTTATGCTTTATAGATTTGCTTACAATCTCTCGGGGAATCACAATCAGGCGATATGTTTTTCAGACTCAAAAGTACATACTAAATTAATTATTATGTGGTTCAGCTTACTCACGTAATTATTTGACGAGAAACTCGACTAGTTTCAAGCCATGGTAGAGGAGGTTCATTGCCCATTGTCAGTAGCAGCGCTACAGTCGCCGTTTCGCGGGTCGCGGAATGCTGCTCATGAACATGAGCCTAGCATGGCTTGAAACTAGTCGAGTTCCTCGTCAAATAATTACGTAAGTAAATCGAAAAACATAATAAAATAATTAATTTAGTATGTGTCACGAACGTTATAATATAAAAGTACATACAGTTGTTTTTTTGTTATTGCCTCGTTGGCCGGGTGGTAGCAAGTTCGATTGCCGGGCAAGGGGTCTCGGGTTCGATTCCTGAGTCGGGCAAAGTATTACGTAGCACGGAGCCTGAAATTGTGCCCGGTATATGGCAATAGGCTCACCTCCTATTACATGGGACTCATAACATAAATCGTGGGTGTTACATTGTACAGTGGCATAATGTGCACCTTTGCCTACCCCTTCGGAGATAAAAGGTGTGATGTTATATTATGTTGTTTCTCTAAAAGTACTTTTCTATTAGACTGAAAACTATGGATGGGTAACCATTCTTATATTTTCATTGACGGTGTTGATATTCTTTCAGGATGACCAGCTACCGTACGGCAGTGACTCCATGACGTACTGGACTGGTTATTACACGTCTAGACCAAGTCTCAAATTCTTTGCTAGGAGAGCACATGTATTTTTGCAAGTAAGTCTGCAAGAAGTGTGGGAGAGCCATGCTTCGGCACGAATGGGCCGGCTCGACCGGAGTAATACCACAGCCTCACAGAAAACCGACGTGAAACAACACTTGCGTTGTGTTTCGTCGTGTGAGTTAGGTTACCGGAGGCCCAACTACCCCCTTCCCCAGTCTCTCCAATTCCCGAATCCCTCACAATCCTCAAATTCCCAATTTCCAAAAGGCCAGTAACGCACTTGTAACGCCTGTGGTGTTTCGGGTGTCCATGGGCGACGCCGATTGCTTACCATCAGGTGATTCGTCTGCCCGTTTACCGGCTTATGCTATAAAAAAACTAACGAATAGGTGAACCTTATAATAAGCGATATTTGCCGCCTATGAACATATAGGCGTTGCCGGGTTTTTGGGGATGGGGGTTGGTCTACCGGTAATGTCACTCAAACGGTGAAAGACAATGCTCATGTTGTTTCACTTTGCCATGGTAATAATATCATACAGTATTTTACGTGTAAAAATTACATTGTTTCGGCAGGTGCCATAGTCATCCATAGTTCCCAATTTACCAGTCCACAGCAACCCATTCATAGCCCCACCTTTTTTTTCCATTATTCACAATAGTCCTACACTAACCGGGGACTGTCCTTGGGTGCATTTCCATAGTGCATACAGGGATAGTCGCCGGTTTGTGTCCATTACATTTATATTAAAGTTGTCTAAAGGGCCTCTGCGCAGTTGGCTTCGGCCCCTCGTACGCCTCCCAAATGACCGGGACCCTGTGGTGAATGGTAAAGTCATACAGTATTCCAACTTCATACAAATAGACGAAATGCAAGCTATACCTACGCACCTCGATGTCAGGGTGAGCGCGGTGCGTCGAGAACGGACGGTGTGTCGTTATTTTAACAAGAACCGCACGATTTTTCTCTAAATATCAGTTGGAGACGGGCAGCCCTAACGCACGCTTACGTACCGCGTGGCTGTAGGTATTTAACACTGTCAAGCGGCTGAGTTACAATACTGTATGATAATATTACTGTGACTGTGGTTTCTGTAAGACCGTGATATTAACCTCGGTCGAGCTGGCCCAGCAGTGCCGAAGCTAAGCTGTTCTGCATGACACTCTGATATCAATCATATTCATCAGAAAACATTTCTAATGTTAATATCTATTTCAGGTAGTGAAACAATTGACAGTGATCGCTCGTTTAGGAGATTCATATGAATTACATCTGCTCAGACATGCTGTGAGCCTGGTACTACACCATGATGCGATTACAGGTTAGATAGAAACTCCAGTAATGTCTTTACAGCCATAGATATCAATCATACTAAGATAGAAAACGTGTCGCGGGTTCGATTACCGCACGGAACAACTCTTTGTTTGATCCATAGATTGTTGTTCCGGGTCTGGGTGTCATGTGTATGTGATATTGTATGTTTGTACACGCACCCACGACACAGGAGAAAATCCTAGGGTCCAACGTTTAAAAAAAAAAACACACTGACAGATCGTCTAATAGTCCTAGTCTAGTAATGGAAAACAGGCCTGCTAAGACTATATTTTTTAAATAAAATATACAAATTAAAATGGCAATAGGCTCACCCCTATTACATGGGACTTATAACATAAATAGTGAAAGATGGGTGTAACATTGTACAGTGGCATTAAGTGCCGAAATGTGCACCTCTGCGTATACAAATTAAAATAAAGTATGTTTAAAATAGCCGACTTCAACTCCCTCTTTTTGAGGTCGATTAATTAATATATTGAAACCTCATTCGAAGTGTAATAAACACTTTTCTGCAAACAGCATCAAAATAGGTTTACCCAATCGCGAGATTGTCGCGCACAAACGTACATATATATAGAGAACGTCTTTCTTTTTTTTGAATTCGGTTGATATAAATCCACCCAATGTCACAGCTTGTGTAGCCCAGAGGTGTGGCGGTTAAAAAGGCTAACATTTCTTGTCATCAGTCATCATCATCATCATCATCATCATCATCATCAACAGCCTATAACTGCCCACTGCTGAGCAAAGCCTCTTCTCACACGGAGAAGGTTTGAGCATTAATCACCACGCTTGCTTAATGCGGGTTGGCGATTACAAACTTATAATTAGAAATTATAAGTCCAGGTTTCCTCACGATGTTTTCCTTCACCGTTTGTCAGTGGTGTCTGAATAATCTTAGAAAGTACATATAACTCGGAAAAAGTCACATTGGTACCTGCCGTTGGTAGGTTTCGAACCCGCACCCTCATGCATGAGAAGCAGGCGTCTTAAACCTCCGAGCCACCACGACGTCATCAGTCATCAATGTTTGCTAAAAAGTCAATATATTACTGACCGCACCATTGGCGCGGTAGCTGGCAAACCGGCTGCCGTGCAGTGTGTCGCGGGTACCTCTTTGTGTGATCCACAAATTGTTGTTCCGGGTCTTGGTGTCATGTGAATATCAACTTGTATGTTTGTAAACGTACCCACGACACAGGAGAAAATCCTAGTGCGGGGCAACATACATAACGTCACGCCTTTTATCCCCGAAGGGGTAGGCAGAGGTGCACTGTGCACATTATACCACTGTACAATGTAACACCCACTTTTCAGTATTTATGTTATGAGTCCCATGTAATAGGGGGTGAGCCTATTGCCATATACCGGGCACAATTCCAAACTCCGTGCTACTACTGAGAATTTTTTAAAAACCCAGTAATACTTTGCCCGACCCGGGAATCGAACCCGAGACCCCTTGCCCGGCAGTCGCACTTGCGACCACTCGGCCAACGAGGCAGTGCGGGGCAACGTATTGTTAAAAAAGTAGCCCCACTAACGCTACGGACCCACGACGTGATTTTCACCCACGCCCAAAACTCAAAACACACGCGACCGCAGTTTTCAGCGATCCCGCAGTCGCCGCGGTTGCGATTAGCGCCCGCAAACTTTGGCGGTTGATTATCGCAAGACGGGCGGGCGGTTAAACAATCAGTTGAGTTCCACACCGGCCGTCGCGATCGCCCGCCAACCGATCTCAGAGCGCGTGGGTGCGATCTGCCGCGGCGGCGAGACGCGTCGCGAAATATGCTTTAATTTTTTACAAACGAATTCTACGAAGGCTATGGTGCCGTAACCACGGCGGGCGTGAGAGGAAATCGAGTCTTAAGTCCTTAACATAACAATGTTTGTCCAATTATGTACTTAGTTTTACTTTATTTCCCGATCCGATCAACAGGGACAAGCCAGCAACATGTGACTTCTGATTTCGTCAGAATTCTAAGTGAAGCCATCGATGCGTGCACCAAGAAAGTTTCCAATCTACTCAGGTAAGAACTTATAGAGATACAAAACGGGTAATGGGTTTTATATATGGAGATACAAATTAATTTCAAAATATATAACTTGAATCGTAAAATCCTTACTAATATTATAAATCGGAAAGTGAGTTTGTTTGTTTGTTCCGACTTCACGCCGTAACTACTAAACCGATTGTATTGAATTTTTGCAGACGTAAAGTTAGTAGTCTGGATTAAATAATAGAGTACTGTTTATCCCGAAAAAAATTGATATTCCCGAGGGAAAACAAAAGTATTGGTTTATATGACGCTGTACGTATTGGTATATGTCACATAGGCTACTTTTTATCCTTTTGTGACGCGAGCGAAGCCGCGGGTAAAAGCTAGTGTTTAAATATTGTGAACAGTGCAAATATTTTAAGAAATAATTATATATGTTTGTTTTAATGATAAAAAAAATATATAAATAAGTATTATTTTTTTCAAAAAGACGGGGGAGGTGTAGTGTGTGTGACACCTCGCCCTATAAGTAAGTAGCGTAAGATAGATATTAAAACACTTAATTAAAGATATTCATAAGAACAACACGTCTCCCTCATTGCTCCACATTGCAATGTAATTATTAATATTATTAATTACGTATAAGTTAATTTGGACAAAGTTTTAGCATTGCCATTCAACGTGGCAATGCTGCCAGTCTTTTGGCCACCCTACCTCACGCTAACGATGAGGAATTTTTTTTTTTGATGGCTTTTGATAGCTTTTTTATTATTATTATTAATTTCTTTTTAAGGTGTAAATGTTTTCGTTCGTAGTTATTTATATTTTAAGTTGTAAATATTTTCATTTAGAGGTACTTAGTATAAGTTAATATTAATTTTATTTATGTCTATTAAAGGTAAATGATTGATACAAAACTAATCCTTACTAATATTATAAATAGGAAAGTGAGTTTGTTTGTTTGTTCCGCTTTCACGCCGTAACTACTTAACCGATTGCTTTGAATTTTTGCAGACGTAAAGTTAGAAGACCGGATCAAATAATAGGGTACTTTCATCCCGGAAAATTTTGATATTCCCGAGGGAAAACAAAAGTATTGGTATAGATGGCGCAGTGTGTATTGGTATATGTCACATAGGCTCCTTTTTATCCTTTTGTGACGCGACCGAAGCCGCGGATAAAAGCTAGTAATAAGATAAAGTGTAGTACCTATGTACCTCCAAAATATTTATATATGTGTTCTCCTGTGTACTGTCTGTGTGTTGTGCATAAACCGATAAATAAATAAATAAATAAATAAATAAAATATATAGATACAAATCTGGTACATATGGTACTGGCAATAAAGAACAAAACAAGAATCTGCCAATTCCGTGCAGTCGTTTAGGATATGCGCGTGTAAACTTTTCAGTATTTTTTTTTATTGTCTTTACCGTAAACACGGTGACGGATCACCTGATGGTAAGCAATCAGCGCCGCCCATGGACACCTGGAACACCAGAGGCGTTATAAGTGCATTACCGGCCTTTTGGGGATTAGAAATTTTTAGGATTGGTGGAGATTCAGGGATTGGGGAGATTGGGGAGATTGGGGAGGGGAAATTTTTTTTAAGGGGCAAAATTCTTCGTATGACTGCTCCCGCCTGGGTGAGGCGGGAGGGAGTGTCAGACTCTTACTGACTAAAAACCACCCCGTTCCTTCTCCTGCACGTCGAGCCGGAGCCCCGGTTACCCGTTAGGTTCTCCGCGACACAGAGGGAGGGGGGTAATAGGGCCTCCGGTAAGTAATTATAATTATTAATCGATTTATTTTTCAGTTACTTAACACCGACATGGGGTGGCAGTCGAAGAACGAAAAATAACCAACAGTTTGTAATATGTCATCAGTTGAACATGAGCCAATGTAGAGTAAGTCATAAATATAGTGCCATTATCTAGACACCACTGACAAACGGTGAAGGAAAACATTGTAAGGATACCTGGGCTTATAATTTCTAATTATAAGTTTGAAATCGCCAACCCGCATTGAGCAAGCGTGGTGATTAATGCTCAAATATTCTCAATGTGAGAAGAGGTTTATATTTAGTAATTATAAGTTCAGGTTTCCTTACGATGTTTTCCTTCACCGTTTGTCAGGGGTGTCTGAATAATCTTAGAAAGTACATATAACTCGGAAAAAATCACATTGGTACTTGCCGGTGGTAGATTTTGAACTTGCACTCTCATGCATGAGAAGCAGGCGTCTTAACTGCTTGAATGCCTGTATATGAGACACAATAGAATTGAATAGAAGATACATTGTGTCTCGCGTGGATGAGAAGCAGGTGGAATACAACGGGGCACCCCGACCGCCAGAATGCTAATCGCTTCTAAGTGGCCGATATGGAAGTCATTGGGAAAGGCTTATGTGAGACAGAGGATGTCCTACGGCTGAAGCTATGAGGATGATACATACATACATAACATCACGCCTTTTATCCCCGAAAGGGTAGGCAGAGGAGCACACAGAAGTAACATCCACTTTTTACAATTTATGTTATGAGTCCCATGTAATAGGGGGTGAGCCTATTGCCATATACCGGGCACATTTCCAGACTCTGTGCTACCACTGAGATTTTTTTTAAAAACCCAGTAATACTTTGCCCTACCTTATCGAACCCGAGACGAGATCTCTTGCCCGGTAGTCGCACTTGCGACCACTCGGCCAACGAGGCATCGAAGATGATAAAATCTACATATAAAAACGTACCATAATTACTTATTCTAAAGTTTACAGAGAACCAAGAGTCGATGCTTCTGCTTGTCTACAACCCGCTTAGCGTGAAGACGTATCATCACGTTAGACTGCCTGCTATAGCCCTCCACTACACCATTAGGGATTTCAATGGTAATGATCTGAACAATTTAAGACAATCGGCGAAGCATCACCGATTCATGGTAGATGTTCCGCCCACACGCACGGAGCGCTTCGCTTCAAGCTTCCTTGTGCGTACTGCTAAAGAGTGGAATTCTTTGCCAGAGTCTGTATTTCCTGAAGGGTATAACCTGGGAGTCTTCAAGGCCCGAGTGAATAGGTTGCTTATGGGACGACGTGCTCCATCGTAGCGACTACCAGGCGAGATAGTGGTCAAACGTCGCCCATCAAATATATAAAAAAAAATAGCAAATAAACTAAATCACTTCTATTTTATGAAAAATGCAGTCTCATTTTAGCTCACCACCTAGTGAGCACCATGAAGCTTAAAAACCAATCACTTGCTACCTATTGATCCATCTGATAAAATTTTCCATTTTCTGTCATGTTCATGTCCTTGGGTAGGCAGAGGTGTATGTTACGGCACTTAATGCCACTACAATGTAACACCCATTTTTCACTATTTCTGGTATGAGTCCCATGTAATAGGGGTGAGCCTATTGCCATATAAGGCAACAATTCGAGACTCCGTGCTACTACTGAGAATATTTTTATCCCTAGTACCCTTATACAATCTATAATTATTTAACTTAACAGGAACTAGAAACAAAGGGCTTTTATTCAAAATAAATAGGATCAGGAAGTCACCTTGTATGTAATTAGAATTTTTATTTATATCTAATTGAATAGCTGAAGGCTGTTTGTCCATAACTCGGTATAATTTGTCTCATCAGCTTATAAGTTATTAATATGGTAGTCAAGTTAAGTAAGGGTGTTGTCAAATTCTGGAGCCGAATATACCAGGCACGATCCCATACTCCGTTTGCTACTGATTTTTTTTTCTAAACCCCAGTTATACTCTGTCTTTTAGTAGCCGATAGGAACTTCAGAACCACGAATACTAACCTTAAATACGTTTTTACCTTCCAATAATTACTTCTCTTACTTTTCCAGACGAGGAGGTAGAATACCAACTGGTACCTCTCCCAGCAGCCGTCATCAATCTTCCAGGGAGATCCTCTACAGCAATCCAGGAGTTGTGCTTCGAAGCTGAAAACATACCTCCTCTAGGATTCACTGCGTATTACATCGCTCCTGTCAGAGATCAGTTGGTGAGACATTTTAACTCATGTTTCATGCTTTGGAGAAGCTATTCCTAGCAAAAATCGTGCTGCTTAAAATTGTATATGATCACCAAACATAACTTGAGTCATTGAATCTAGACCAGATGCTTGTATGCCTTAAACTGTCAAACACCGCGAGGACACCGGTAACCACAACTTGTTGTTCTTTAATTGTGTCTATAATGACGGTACTCAAAGGGTTAAATATAGTTTTTTCTGTCGCGGACACTCATCGCGCAACAGATTGCATACACTTGTACAATATGCTTTTAAATTTTGGCTTTCCGTACCGAAGTGTTGTTGTATTTTGAGCATAGAAAAATATCCATAGATTTGAATAGAAAAAGAAGAAATTTTAAAAACCTATTGGGTAGAATGAAATCTATATACGTATATATAAAAGAAAGTCGTGTTAGTTACACCACTTATAACTCAAGAACGGCAGAATAGATTTGACTGAAAATTGGTAGGGAGGTAGCTTCGAGCCAGGAGACCGACATAGGATACTTTTTAACCAATTGTTTTTTTACTTTTTACCGAAAATCACGAACGGGGACGGGAAAAATGTGATTACGCGTACGAAGTCGCGGGCAGAAGTTAGTAAAGGATAAATGTGGAACTCGACATAAAAAAAGGGACTGTAGTCCCCCTCCCCTCTGCGACTCCATAGTGAACGCACGCGTATTACTAGTTGTCCCGGTTTTAATTCCACAAATAGTGCAAAAAGTGTTTAAATTTACAAACGAAAGTTAACACAGTGCTAACAACCTGGACAGTGACAATTGTGCGCAAAAATTGTACATGGAATGCATTATTTAAAGTGATAATTGCAAATTAAAATCTATCTAATATAGTTGTAGTGTATGCAGATACACGTACATCAATCATACTATAGGTTATATTGTGACGCCTCGGGCGCATACGTCGCTCGGTTATAAATACCGGTCCGAGTAGAGGGGCAGTCAGTCGTTGTTAGACTGTCGGCCTGTGCGGTGGTGCGTTGGCGAGTCGTTAAACAAAGTAATATAATCACGTGTACAATACATTGGCGACGAGGATAAAACAGTGAGTGTTTAAACCAACATTATTTTTCAAGACTACCCACATGTTTTGAAATTGTTACAACAAATATCATTTTTCAAGACTACCCACATGTTTTTAAATTGTTACAACAAATATCATTTTTCAAGACTACCCACATGTTTTTAAATTGTTACAACAAATATCATTTTTCAAGACTACCCACATGTTTTAAATTGTTACAACCAATATTAATTTTCTAGACTACCCACATGTTTCACATTGTTTTTTTAATTAAATAACACATAATTATCGTTGGTTAAATCACCAAATCAACATGTTACGCAATGAAAACAAAAATAATCCTTCACCGAATATCAGTTTGGAAGTATTTTATCACACGAACTGCACATAACTATGTATTTTTTTTAATGAGTTTACTTTGTAGTAATGTAAATTTTTTTGTTACACATTTATAATACAGAATCATTATTTAGTGATCTGATCAGTTCTTATTATCAATTTTATACAAAACTTATTAACAATAAAACTTTAATGAAAGTAACTAGTGCATTTTACTTTAGTATTTATTAAATTGACAACAAGGCAGTTTTAGCAGTAGGTAGTCTATATCTACTGGTCATTAAATTGACAACTTGGTAGTTAGCAGTAGTCTATATCTACTGGTCATTAAATTGACAAATTGACAGTTAACAGTAGTCTATATCTACTGGTGACAGTGATGCAAATCTACTGGTCATTCAATTGACAGAACATTCTAGCAGTAGTTGACAACTACTGGTCATTCAATTGACAATAACTAATCAGTACCAGTAATGGGTACACACTGTTATCAAATTGACAGGAATTAATAAACAAACAAGTTTGTAGCAGCGAATTTATGTGGGCGGTAAATACAAGGCCTGTATAATTTAAAATGCGTTTATTCATTCCAGGTTTTTGAATAAAACATGAATACCCAACTAACACTGGAAAAATTTGATTGTGAGGGGGAACCTACATCAGTAGGAGCGCGATGGGAACGCTGGAAACGCGCACTTCTGATTTACCTTGAAGCAGCTGGTATAGAAAGAAGTGAGAAGAAACGGGCCTCATTGTTACATTTTGGTGGGTTAGCGTTACAGGAAATTTTTCATAATATACCAGATGCAAATATACCAGCAGCAGATGGCGTTGACGTCTTTGCAGTGGCCATAAAGAAACTTGATGAGTTTTTTCTGCCAAAACAAAGTAAGGTGTATGAGCGCCATCTCTTTAGACTGATTAAACAAGAGGCCAATGAAACATTTGATAAATTTCTTATACGACTACGACAACAAGCGGATAAGTGTCAATTTAAGGACAAAGACGATCAAATTATTGATCAGATTACTGAAAAGTGTTCCTCTAAAGAACTGAGGAAGAAAATTTTACAAACTGGAGATTCTATGACACTCACAAATATAATAAATGAAGCAAACACACTAGAGGCAGTAAGCAGACAAATAGAAGGATTTGGAGGAGGCAGCACATCGTCTGACAGCATAAACAGAATTAAAAGTACAAATCGTAAATTTAACAATCAAAATGAAAGAAAGTGGACAGAAAAATCAAAATGTGGGAGGTGTGGTAGCACTGGACACGGTTCTCAAGATAGCAAATGCCCAGCAAGAGAAAGAGATTGCCACAAGTGCGGGCTGAAAGGACATTTTCGACAATTTTGTAGAACAACGACAAGAAATAAAACTAATAAAAGGAAACACAGCACAAACGATCTAAAACGGTAACGAAAAGAAATTTAAAAGAGAGTACCCAAGAAGCAACACAAATCAAATAGACCAAACGGAAGATACTGAAGATATACAATATGTGTTCAAAATTGATGATGATAGTGTAATAGATTGCTATGTTGGTGGTATAAAAATAAAAATGCTAGTAGATTCAGGCTGCAAATGCAACTTGATCACAAGTAGAACCTGGAATTTTATGAAACAAAATAGCATTAAAGCATTAAACCAAACACATAGATGTAATAAAACCTTCTACAGTTATGCGAGTAAAACACCTCTTGAGTTATTAGGATCTTTTAATGCTAACTTGAAAATTGCAGATAGAGAAACAAAGGCTACTTTTTACGTTATTGCCGATGGAACTAGAGACTTGCTCGGAAAAGACACCGCCACCAAAATGGGTGTACTTAAGGTCGGGTTAGCAGTCAACCAAATGGACATCAACAAAGAATTTCCAAAATTCAAGGACGTACTAGTGGAAATACCAATCGACAAAAATGTGCAACCTGTTTCTCAACCATTAAGAAGGATCCCTATACCGTTGGAAGAAAAAGTTAGTAAGAAAATAAAGGAACTTTTGGACAAAGATATCATAGAAGAAGTTCAGGGTTCTTCAAGGTGGGTATCACCAATTGTCCCAGTTCTAAAAACTACGGGAGACGTTCGGATTTGCGTAGACATGAGGCGAGCCAATAAAGCAATTTTACGTGAAAATCACCCATTGCCCACCATGGACAAATTACTGCCAAAAATGAAAAACGCGAAATACTTCTCAAAATTAGATATCAAGGATGCTTTCCATCAAATCGAGTTACATCCAGACTCACGACACATCACGACTTTTATTACCAGCAAAGGACTTTTCAGATACAAAAGGTTAATGTTTGGAATATCATGTGCTCCAGAAATATTTCAAAAAACTTTAGAACGCATGCTTTTAGGATGTGAAGGAACTTTAAATTTCATAGACGACATATTAGTTTACGGAAAGAATATAGAAGAACACGATCAAAGATTGGAGAAAGTAATAAAGACTCTAGAAGAAAATAACGTGGTTTTGAGAAAGGATAAATGCACATTCAGGCAGCAAAAAGTTCAGTTTCTAGGACATGAATTATCACATGAAGGTGTAAAACCCCTGGATAAGTATGTGTCCACCATTCAAGAATTTCGTCCACCTATAAATATAGGTGAGCTTCAGAGCTTCTTAGGATTAATAAATTATGTTGGCAAATGGATCCCAAATTTAGCTACTTCCACTGAACCGCTAAAAGAACTACTAAGGAACAAACCAAACAAATCCACAGAATTAAAAACTCTTTGGGGTACTAAACAGGAAAGTGCATTTAACCATTTAAAATTAGCACTATCTAATATTCCGACTCTAGGTTATTATGACGTTAAAGATCGAACAGCAGTAATTGCAGATGCCAGTCCAGTTGGTTTAGGAGGAGTACTAGTTCAAATCAATGAACATGGACCGCGCATTATAGCGTATGGACATCGTACCTTAACCAGTTGTGAAAGACGATATTGCCAAACGGAGAAGGAAGCCTTAGCTCTAGTTTGGGCCGTAGAACACTTCCATATATTCCTGTTTGGGAAAGAATTTGATTTAGTTACAGATCATAAACCACTGGAAATCATATTTGGCCCGAAATCAAAACCATGCGCTAGAATAGAAAGGTGGATTCTGCGCCTTCAAGCATATACTTTTAAAGTTATATACAAGCCTGGCAAAGAAAATATAGCAGATAGTTTATCAAGACTGTGCAAATTAAAAGAAATTTCGCATAATAACTCTGACGACTATATACACCAAGTCGTCGAAGGAAGCAGGCCAGTTGCAGTATCGTTGCAAGAAATCACTGATGCCTCGAAAGAAGACACAGAAATACTTAAGGTAAGGCAAGGCCTCTACAACAACCAGTGGGATGAGGAGGTAAAAAATTATAAGATTTTCCAAAACGAATTATGTTTTTATGACGGAATTTTATTACGAGGGACTAGAATTGTTATCCCAAAGAAATTACGAAGTAAAATTTTGATAGCTGCTCATGAAGGACACCCAGGAATTGTATCAATGAAAGCAAGACTTCAAACAAGTTTGGTTGCCTCGATATGATAAAGAAACTGAGAATCTGGTTAAATGCTGTAAAGGCTGTACACTAGTATCAG